GCAGAAAGCAAATGTTTTAAGAATGATGAGGGTAACAAATGTACCAATGTGCTTGACACGATGGATGGATGGATGGATGGATGGATTGTGATGAGTTGTATGAGCCCCAATAAAATGATTTAAATTAAAAAAAGAGCTAGAAAGGCACTGTCGAGGTCAGTGGGTTTATGTCTATGGGGGAGAGCAGTGCGGGAGAGGGAGGGGAACGGCCACACAGCGTGAAGAGGAGACCCCGCATCACTGACCAGCTTGAGCAGCGATAGTTGAATTGCTGTATGTTTAGCTGGTTATATTTTCAACAACAAAAAGGTTAAGTTAAAAACAAAAGTCATGCTTTCTCTCAAAGATATCACAACTTTCTTAATTTTTTTCCTTTAAAGCAAGCAACCCCGTGATTGCGGCTCAGCTCTGGTAAGTGCCCCAGACGCTGCAGTACAGCGCCTCTCTCTAATTATTGTATTTATTTATAATGTTGACTTCCCCCAAGACAATTAAATTACAGAAGTCACCTGGTCATGTCTCCCCCTGCTGCCTGGCTATGCCATCCCCTTGGCTTTCCACAAGTACACAGAAGAAGGTTCCACGACAGTTTCAAACTGAAACAACGCAGCTGCTCTCTGAGTAGCTTGGCACTTTGTTTTGGTTGCGGTGGTGATGGTGGTGATAGGAGGCCGCCCAGCAGCGGGTGCCCATGGCATTGCAGACAGCCACGGGAGACCCAAGCCACGCTCCTGAACACATGCTGTAGGTTTTATCGTTGTACGCGTCCTTGCAGGAGCAGGAGACAGGATCGTGGTCGTACTCATCCATGTAGGAGACAGGAAGCGCTGTTACTGAAAATCCCAGAAAAAGAACGGACTGCCCTAGCATAGGGGTGGGAGAGGTGGTGCCAGCAAACTTTTTTGGCAAAGGGCCAGACTGACAATCTGTTAGGCTCTGTGAATATTGTCTTTGCTGTAAGGACACAATTCTGTTGTCGCACGATGAAAGCAACCATGGGCCATAGATGCACGAATGGTGTGTGTTCCAATAAGACTTCAAGTTCAAAAAGGAGTCCTCTAGCAAACAGATCCACGGAGGTGGTGGGACACACAGGGCAGAGCGATTCAAACTTCTCAGCATCAGACACCTTAAGGGAACCCGTCACTCGGCCTGGGGGCTCATCGTCGCCGGGGACACCAGTGTCAACTGTCCTAATATAATGTCCAAAGACAGGCTTTACATCCTGCTCATCTACCTGAGTAGTGAGTGGGGCCTTAAGAGCTCAGGAGTAGCCATCGAAGGTGCCGTGACTGGTCTCTCCCTGTCTGGAGGGAAGAGCAATGCTGGAAACTGAAGACTCGTGGGAACGTCCCAAGGACTCGAGAACGGACACACATCCGTGCCCCTGACTCTGAGAGCAAGAGGACCACTGGTGACCCGCCATGGCTACCGACCACTCTGAACGGAACCACATTGGAAGGGCTGGACAGAGTGGGAGAAAAATGGGAAACAAAGCTCAGAATTGTTCTTTTTTTTTTAAGAACTGGCTTATTGACAGGTGGACGGAACCTCTGAGACGTTAGCCCTTGGGTCCTGACCCTTCAGACGTGGAAATGTACCCACCCGCATGGCTCACCTGTGAGTCACACAGCCGAAAGGTCTGTACGAGGAACGCTGACACTCGTGGGGGACACACACCGCAGCAGAATCAACTGTCGGAGATCAGAAGTTCAGAAGGGTTAGGAAAGGAGGAAGGAGGAGTGGAAAAGGATTCCCGGGGAGGCAGTGGATGCGTGAAGGTACCTTGTGGGGACAGCCATCGAGGAGGTGAAACAAAAGGTGTGCGAACAGTTGAGTGGAAAACGAATCAGCTCTGCACACCTAAACCCAATTTGGGATGCGAAGCTTAACAAAAGATAACTCACGCCCAAACCAAAGTCAGTGAGCTAGACTTTGCTCATGGGGCATAGTTTGCCAAGGGTTTCCCTTGCATGGGGCTTCCTGGCCCAGCCTGGGCGCTGGTATTGCCTGGTGAGCGGTGACAAGACCCTCAGCGAGGCCTCAGCCCACACTAATTGAGCCAGAAAGTCAGGGGTGGGGTCCAGGCATTTGTGTTGCTCCCACCTCCGCAGTGCTGTTGTTGTGCCGTTCAGGTGAGACCACTGCCCTGCCTAACATGGAACCTTGCTTCCTCTGAAAGAGCCAGTCTTCTCACCCCCAGCCCCAACTCGTGCTTCGAAAAGGTCTCTGGAACATTTAGCCTGCTATTTTTGGGGTCTCCTGGAAACTCATTTGCAAACACAGCATTTCAGGAACATCCACAGGTATTTTTTCTGAACTTTTTAGCCTCTGATTTGCCCACTGGAAGAAATTTTGCATAGAAGTTCAACACATCAAACAGACACTGGCATCCCGATCCCCACACTGCTGAGAATGAAACTGTGCGGGGATAGGGGATCCAATGCCTACTTGCTCCCCTGCCTCCTGCCCCAGGTAGCCCGAGGCACCTTCCAGGACCCTAGCGTCTTGAAAGGAGAATTGGGTGCCAGGATGGCCCAGAGGCCTACACCAGCCTCCTGCACAGCTGAAGAAGGCTGCACCTGGAGTCTCTGCTCCCGGAGTGTTGGCACTGCCGTTCTGCCGGGCGTCACCATGCTGGCTCTTGTCTCTGGGTCCCTTGGAAGGGCTTGGGGGTCCTTGTGAGCTGGTTCCCCCCTACCTTCTGAGGGTCGAAGATGGTTTCAGGGTTCTTGAGCAGTTATTTTTAGGCCTGCCCCATTCCAGAACCCCTCTAGTAGATCATGTGCTAAAGGTATTTGCCCCTTCGTCAGCCTCTCAGGGGGTCTTGCTTTCAGTTCTCAGAGGCTTATACATTATAGATTATCTTTCCTTGGATGGCTGAGGAGGTGAGTTTTTGTTTGCTTTGGTTGGCTGGTTGGTTTATCCCTATTACAATTCCATTTTCCTCTTAGCTCTTAGTAGAGATTATATAGATTGGGAATCAAGACAAACTAAAAAAAGCTCTACACCCCTCAAAAAAGAGTCCCAGCAAATAGACCCTTTAGGAACAAAGGAGCCAATGACCACGGTTCACAGTTGTTCCGTTGCAGCCTGTGGGATCTTGGGGTGAGTGAGGCTGCTGACGTTGCTCCCTGGGCTGCAGCGGTGCCGCAAGGAGAAAGCACCTCAGAGTGCACTTAGCCTGCCCGGGGCAGCCCAGCCAGGGGAGGGCCTGGCCCAAAGCCTAAGTGGCCCTCTCGAAACATGAGAACACAGGGCCACGTAAACCCCAAGCCTTCCTCATAACAAGGGTGTGTTTCCCTCTCGTTGTAGCCTTCAAGTCCAGCACTCCTGCCCAAGCTCCCTAGCGCAGCGAGCGTGGCCTTGTTTGTGTGGGGCTTTCCTGGTGGAAACCCTGCTGGCGTTTTTGAGCACACTACGTTCAACACCAGCCCCCCACTTGTCCAGGTTTTTCTGGAGTGGTTCATGCATCAGGAGCCCCGAGCCCGTCCTCGGGCTCTCTGAGTGCCCACTTGGTTTAGTGGGAAACATTCAGGCTCTGGGATTGGGGGGATGGAGGCTCCGGTTCAGCCCAGTGCTGTCAACGAGCCAGGTGACCCTGACGCCCGTGCTAGGCAACTGCTTCTCGATCTGTGAGACAAGGCCTCCGGTCGTGGTTGGTGTGGTGGGATGTTTCGAGGAGTAGGCCACAGGGGTGAGCATTCCACAGGGGCGACCACATCGTTGGCAGGATTGTCCAGAGCAGCAGTGCTTGTGTCTGGTTCCCTCCCCAAGGTTAGTGGTAGGTGTCTCCCTCCAGCTAGAGCAGTGGTTCTTAACCTTCCTAATGTCACGACCCTTTCATACAGTTCCTCTTGTTGTGGTGAACCCCCCCCCCAACCATAAAGTTATTTTTGTTGCTACTTCATCATTGTCATTTTGCTACTGTTATGAATCAGGCAACCCCTGTTGAGAACCACTGAGCTAGAGGGAGCTCTGGGTATCAGTGGGCCTTCTGGGAGTGGTGAGCCATCCAGCAGTGTCATGGCAGACCTGGGGGGGAAGCTATAATGACTTGGTTCAGGGAAGCAAAAGGGCTCCCTGTGTGCCACACAAACACTGTCGTCTAGAGCCTCATACCCCATGACCTCCCTGTTGCTGTGTGTGAGCTCTGGCGTATGAAGGAAACTTGCTGTGCTATTCCCTGCGTATTTGTTCAACTAAGCAAGCAATAACGGAAGAGGAACCGTGCGTGCAAGTTCCCAACACCGCTGACACTAGCACACGGGAGTAGCCTGTGTGATGAAATACAGCAGCAATAATGCCACTCTCCAACTGATGGCATCTAATTCTCTTCTTCTTCTTGTTTTGTAGCTCTAAATCAAATCCTGAAGTCCATAATTACCAGGTGAGACTATGTATTTTTTAAGATTTCTGTCTGCAACGCTTCTCTGGCTGTGTGCTCAGTTTTCGACATTGGCCGGGGGCTGCTGGCATTCCGATTTGGGAGAAACAGTCGCCAGCTCTGTTTGGTGGTCTGGGTGTTTTGAGACAACAGTAAGGGCCGCCCTGGCTGGCCCTTGCTGCTTCTGGATCGTCTGGCACCATGTGTGTCTCTCAGACTTACCCCAAGGCAGGAAGCAGGGGTTGAGCTTAGGTGTCAGGGAGATCGGACTCAAGCTCTCAGGGGCATTCAAGTGAGGCAGCTTGTGGTCAAAGTGTATTCAAGGCCTGAGGAGCATGCGTCCCATGAGGTGTGCCCCCGGAGAGCTCAGCTTAGTCGTGGTTTGGGAAATGTTACCTCCCTCAACTCCCTTCTTGGACTGCTCACTGGCTGGGGAAAGTGCTGATGTGTCTTGCAAGAAAGGTGGCTGTGCCTGCCCCCACCCCCCATGCTCCGTGCCTGGAGGGGAATATATATATGTAGCAGAGCACTTGCCACATCAGCCCTCTTCCTAACGACACTGGCATTACCGTTTCAGTGACATTCACCGTTTGCATCATCTTGTTCAACCAGCACCATTTTCCTTTTCCAGTTTTTTCCATCACCCTGAACAGATGCTTGGGGG